GTTTTAAAATTGACATTCTACTGGCACCTGAACTCGCTGTGTCATCTATTATCCACTGCTCTGTGATGCCGTTTTGTTTCTCGTGGCCTGTGATGCCGTTGCCGCCATTCTGTGTCCTGTCCTGGCCTTTCTCCTAAGTGAGTCAGTGCTGTATGTGATAAATAGGCGCCATTTTCTTCAACAGCCAGGAAGTAACAGGACAGAGATTGTGGGATAATGTTGAACATATTTGACAAAGAAAGAGATATGATCTGACCGACTTGTAGGTATATGGAGCAAGTGTTTATGTTACTGTGATCTCCAAGCTGCAGCACCAGAAGTAAACATAAAGTTTAGCAATCGCTGACAGAAATATTACAGGATCTACTGTCGGAATGGAAGCCATGTTAGGGCAGTCTAGACGAGGTGTAAATCCAAGATCAGGACAGGTGACAGTACAGACACAACCTCCATTAGCTGAACAGGAAACAAATCCAACATCAGCTCCAAATCATCTTGTATTCTTAGAGAAGGCAGAATGTGTGCGTTCCTTCAGTGCTGAACTGGAAGATGATAGAAGAGGAATACTCATAACTGGGTTAGCCACAGATAAGGAACACATGTTTGTTGTGGATAGAGAAAACAACAGAATATTCACACATGAAGGACAATTTAAGTTTGACATTAAAGTAAACAAACCATTTGATGTGGCTGTGTCACAGACTGGTCACCTGTATATAACATCACCAGATGACAGATGTGTCCAAGTGTACTCCACCAGAGGTCAGCAGGTGACAACCATGGGTCAGGGTCTACTGGGGTTTCCACAGGGTATTACACTGAACAGACAAGGTCATGTGATGGTTTGTGATGAAGAAAAGAAGTCCATCTTCACATTCCATGCAGACAGTGGACAGCTCCTGAACACTATTCCACTCAGTATGTGTAGACACCCAATGTACATCACAGTGAACAGTGTGAATGATAACATTGTGATATCAGACATGTTTGGACACTGTGTACATGTGCTGTCACCTACTGGTGATCATCTGTACCAGTATGACGGCAGCAGAGAAGGCAGTGAACTGAGGTATCCACATGGAGTGTGCACAGACAGCTATGGTCACATCTTCATTGCTGACTGGGATAACACCAGGATAGTGGCACTGAGTCCACAGGGACAGTTTATCAGATACATTGTCACTAAGGATGATGGGTTGAAGTTTCCCTGGGCAGTAGTCATCAACCCTGCAGGTCAACTGGTGGTGGCAGAGGTGAGGGGCAATGTTAAGACATTCAAGTATACTGAACTGAAACAAGGTGAGTAACATGTATTAACTGTGGATAGATATGTTTATCATGTAAAATATTTGAAAGTTAATTAGTCTTACAATGTTTTTATCCATGATTATGTTTGCCTTTATTTCAATAAAAAAACTTTTAAGCATATTTAAATTCAGTAAGCACACAGCTGTGCTTTAGTAAAAATGTATGTAGAGTGGAGACATTTTCTATAGTTAATACTTTACTGTTACTGACAAATTTCCATGAACCCATTAGTGATTAGGATTTTGAATAAGGATGAAGAACTCTTTTTAATGGAATTTATAATATGCTTCATTTGTATTTTTATTAAGTCACAAGAAAAACATTTTATATTGTTTAATCCCTGAACTTCTTGTCCATTTGTCAGTAAAGAACAACTCAAATCTCACAACAGAACAGTCCAATTCTTCATATTCTTCATCTTGTAGCTGTTCATGAAAGCTTAGATATACCTAAATTCTCAAATGTACTTTGTCAAGTTTCTCAATGTCTTACCACTTCTAGATTCAAAGACATTTCATCACCAGTTTGTTGTTAACACACACAAATAAATTAAATGTTGAAGTACTTTGGATAATACCTTATTTTCCTGACTTTGTAGATTGTTCTTTGCAAATAAAACTAGCAGACGACCATTTTTCATGAAATGGAACTACTTTTCACAGGAAGTAGTGTATTCATACACAACAGTGACCTTGGGTTTGGAATACAAAAATATAGTACATGCATTTATACTGTCTCAGCATGCAAATTATAATGAAATATACAAAACTAAACACATTTTTATGTAACACAAAAAGTTAAATGCATTTTTATTTATTTATATTATTATTAATATTATTATTATTATTATTATTATTATTATACTGGATAAAAACATTGATGAAATGGTTTTGACCACCTTTTTGGACTTTTTAAACTGCATGCTGATGGACCCACATATTTATGTCAAAGACCCGGACCAAATCTAGTCCTATGCATAAAAAGCCCAGACCCATGTTTATTACGCACTGGCTGGGCCCATTCTTTATGGTGTTTGAATTGTTAACAGCATAACGGGCAAGTTAAATGACCAAGTCAATGTTTTTATCCAGTATAATAATAATAATAATAATAATAATAATAATAATAATAATTATAATTATATAGCCAAAATAAACCATTAAGCATCCTGCTATAGGAATAAATAACATATCATAAATAAACATCAATGCTGTCATATCATACATAATACAAGAAAAGTGTACGTCTACATGCAAATGTACAGTGTGTATATGTTGCCAGAGTGTAGCCGCTAGCGGCTAGCTTCCAGCAACCCGTGTGGCTTACCTCCAGCAACATGCTCTATATGTATCCGCAGATAAGCTGCTAGCGGCTACCTTGTGGCAACATACAAGGCATATATATCTCTTGCAATATGAAATACTTGTTGAAATGATGTTTTCAATAGAACTTATATTTTGTTTCATTTTTNTTCACCTTCACTCAATATACTGCAGGTGAAATTGTTCTGACAAGACAGATTTTAAATACACCTGAAAATAAAATAAACATAGGAAAATAAAGAAATAAATAAAAATTATTTTACATAAATATGGTCCCTTTTACACATTGATGACAAGGGTACCCATTATGAAAGACCATAAATCATGTAAAACACTACCTGATAACTATTAACCAGAATGCCATGGGGAAGCGGAGAAGGAAGAAGAAAACTTACCTGTGGGACCTTGGACAGAGCCTGCTTTTGAGCAAGATAAAGTGTATGCTGGACAGAGGGAGAGAACAATCCTTGGTCGGGAGGACCAGCAAATTTGTCCAGGATGGCACTTTTTACTGCAGACCTGTAAAAATATAAGAATATATAATATTACCTAGTATATAAATTAGTTATGTAAAACTTTGGAGGCTCAAATGCTGCAAGCAAATGGCAACGACTGTACCTCTACACAGGACAGCAAAATGCGATTTAAGTTTCTCCAGATACAAGAATGATATGTTCATTGAATGATTTTTACACGATTGATATATTTCGCCCCAATCAGCATTCTTATTTTTTGATAGAAAAATAATAGTGAAACAAATGTCTTATCTTAATTTAAATTTCAAAGCAATAAATAAATGGCAGCAAAAGAAAGCTTTCTTTTGGTTGAAAAATCAAGTTGTAAAAAGAATCTGTTTATGGCTCACTGATATGCAGATTTAAAAACGAAGACAAGGGCACACCTTCGATTAAAACACGGGTCATGGGCACCTGCATTCACTCTATTTTAAGTTCTTACCATGAATTACAATAAGCTAGCCCCTCAGTTGTGCTGTAATCCCACTTTGCCTGAACCACAGTGCAAAAGATTCGATCACTCATGTCTGGCAAGATGCGATACTCGTCATCCACAAAATTGACAAAGGAAGAGGCGGTGGTTTTCAGAATCTTCATGCCCTTCAATCCAGCGCTGACCTTGGGAACACCTAGAACCATGAGGCATGTTACAGAAGAGGCATGATAAATCTAATACTTGACTTTCTTATTAATAAAGTTACGATCCATTGTTGTGATCAGTACCACTGATCTTCAACAGGTGCCAGTTTCCTAAAAAAGATTAAAGTTAGTTCCCTGGCTTAGCTGACTATGATTTCCATGAAGGTGCTGTTACACTGCTCCTGATAGGGTAACATAGCACCATGTAACCTTGGTAATTAAGTTCTTAGCCAAGGAACCTGACTTAAGTTTTTTTGTGAAACCAGGACCAAGGAAATGAGTGTGAGTGACTTGAGGGGTAACTAATAATAACAATGTAAATTTGGATTTTCTACTTTTCCTCTTAATTAAGTGATATCACACCAATGGATGAATAAGAATACTCACTCCTTTGTGATATGTATTGCTGGTCATGTGAAAGTAAGCATCCTTACAGTTACAGGTGTAATGAAACTGACAGTTAAATTTGTTCTGTAGTCATACAAAAAAAACCGCTCAAACTGTTAAACAGAAAAACATTCACTTTTTTTGAATGCCCCAAAGCAATTTAATTAGGCATAGCAAATGTTTTTTAGGCATACTCACATATTATGCACTAGGTTAGTTAAAATTAATTTACCCATCCTACCAGTCATATTACTTAATAATGTTTCACCAAATCACTTCTGAAAAGACTAAAATAAATGTTTTTCATTGTTTTTAGCATAATTTGATCTCCGGCACTTTTCATTTTTTTTATGCCTCCGAGCTTCATCCATCTCCTCTTGAGTCTACATGTAATCCAGATTGTCCTATTAGACTGGACATATTAAAGGATATCATACTACTAGGCTATGGCATTTCATGATGACATGTGAGACTAGAAAATGTACAGCAACCATGTGAGTTTTCAAGGTGAAACTCTAAGCACCAGAAATCAAGTTACTGTATAAGAAAGTAATGCAGTGATACATTTTGAGAAACAACCCAGTTTCTAACTAGACCTGACATTTAAATAAAACAGATAATGATGTACATCAGGAAACCATTAACCTGCAATCAACCTTTGAGTTATCAATAATTTCATCTGTGGTGGTTGTCTGATAATTCTCAACAGCGAAAAAAAAAATCAATAAAATTCTCCTTAGGCATCATATACAAAACCAAACCATTTTTATGAAGAAATTATGTAATAAATGTGTTTTTCCTTTCCATAAAGCTGATTATAGAGGTTTAATACAACCATATACATATCATTACCTTATCATTATCATTCTCTTACTACAGTACAAGTATATTTTTACACTTACTATAGGGTTTCACAATATATTCTATAATACTGCAGTATTGAGACTACAATGACAGTTTTGAAATAAGTTTACACAAAAACAGATACAAAGACAATGTTCCATCAAGGTATATTGTTCCCCAATTAAAGTGGATGAACACAGTAAAAGGGCTAAATGAGGGTACTAGTAGATACACATGTACATAATTGAGAACCAGATGTTAATTACATAAGGTTTAAGTTACTCCCTGAAACTTGCTAAAATTGTTGATTAGTGTTTGTGGTTCCATGTTATAAAATTAATATAAAAAAATCCTGCAGTCACCTGCAGTTCAGATCATTCAAATCTAACTGCACATGTATCTATAATCCATAATAACTGTCACTGATAGGAAATTGCATTGTCAATGTGAGGAAATAGGATTTCATGGGTTCTCTAAAAAAATATAGCATGTTTGGTCCAGGAAAACAAAAGTCAATATTTCAGTTGTAACAGGGCTTTTCTTAAAGGTCTTAGAGCGCATTCTCAACGAATTAAGCCAGGCTTTACAAAGCCGGTGACCTAAAAATGGCGGACGTACATGAAAGAAAAACCGCCTAATCTTTTAATAGTCTCTCCGCCTCTCACACGCCTCCCCACACGTCGTCCCTGCGGGGTACAGTAATTAAGTCTCGGCTCCGAACATTAATATTTCCGTGAATATCTCTGGTGATATTATCTCCGTAGATAGTCGATTTATTGCTGCTCTACGGGCCAAATTATTCCTTTTTCGTCTCTGTTTTCAAAGATAATAGAACAGAAGAGCTTTTTTCCTTCGATCGCCTTCAGCCGCCATGCTTTCTTCACCACGAGTTTAACTGATGAGCATGCGCACTTAATATTTCTCAGGTAGCTTCCGCATGGCGAACGGAGCCGAGATTTAATTACTGTACCCCGCAGGGACGACGTGTGGGGAGGCGGAGAGACTATTAAAAGATTAGGCGGTTTTTCTTTCATGTACGTCCGCCATTTTTAAGTCACCGGCTTTGTAAAGCCTGGCTTAATTCGTTGAGAATGCGCTCTAAGGCTGTATTCCCAGCGCCTTTAGATCGATCTATCCCCGCGGGGAGTCTCACTAGATTACTGTCAGATAATCCGGCTTAAATGTCCATCCCGCCTACTACAAGCTGTAAGGGGGTGATTAACTTTCATGTCCGTCCGGCTGACAGCTATTTAGCGTGAACCCCCAGGGAGTTAGGTCGATCTAAAGTAGATCGATCTAATCTCTGGAAATGGGGTCTAACTGTATCTCTGTCCAATAGATGAATAAATCTAGTCTTCTTTCTCTATTCAATTTGGTAGTGCATGGACAACATTGTTTTTATCCTTCAGCAGGGAAATCTAACGCTGAAGGTAGGGGCATTTCATTGTTTCTATTTAGAATTCTTATCAGCCTAGTGCTCATATTATCATGCTTGTTTCATCAAATATGACAAATTTAGTTGTTTTATTTATAAAATTTTGACACAGTCACTTCATAGCTTTTCTCAGCCAAATTAAAGAAAGATCCCGTGTTTCCTTGTACTGTCTTAAGTGCTTGCTTGGATACTAACCTAAACAAAAATATTCCTTAATGAATGGACTTACCATGTTTTTCCTGTATAACATCACAGAATCGTATGCATTCAGGGCTAGAGATGAATGCATGCACATGTTCCCGTCCTCCCTGAAATGGAATAAAAATGCAAGAATGCTTTGAGAAAAGACAATTAACTTGCACAAAAAAATAATTCATTATGATCACTTTTCTTTCTTTCTTTCAAAATTTTCTTTTTCACAAAGAAGCATAATTTATACAATTCTGAAAAAAAATAAATGGAGGCTAATGAAGCATGCATCAAGTTGAAAAAAATTTATACTAGTATTTATTAACTTCTTGAAAATGATGCAATACAGTTCAGCCGTGAATTAACTATTATAATAAATCGTGTTTACCTGCTGTATCCTCTTCCAAGGAGCCTGCTCTATATGGATATTTGCCTTAACCACCCATGGATACTTGGTCAAAAAGTGATTGGCTAAAATCTGGGCAAACACCTCTATGGTATCGATCTGAAGAAAAAAAAAGTCTTCATCAGGTTATTTTTCAATTCATCAAAATATACCCTGAGCTTCAGAGTTTCAGAAAATGGTAAGAGTATGGTATAATGTAAAGGTAATTAAATACATAAAATGTACAGAAAATCAAATCGTTAACTTTCTATTGTCTTGAAGTCTAAGTTAAACCCTTCTCAATGCTTTATTCCCTATTCCCTTTTTTAAGGAAAAAAATGCAGACACATCATACATACGTAATACTATATTGCATAATCAAATTAATTTTTCCTCGTATTATTACTGTCTAAACAATTGTGCAACAATAAAGGGCTTTATATCCATCACCATCCAAGTAAATATTTAATGTGTATTGTCAGATCCAGCTACACCTGCCATTTAACACAAATGTATGGATGCTATTAATGTTGTGTTACTTTTAGGCACCACTTCAAATATTGACATTATCCTAATGTCAAATTGCCTTATGTTATCAAAATCATTACAACTTATCCTTGGCAGTTTGGACTTTGATATCAATATAAAAACATTTCAACTTTCACAAAAAAGGAATATTCACATTTATACTGAGAACAAAAGATGTGGCGTATTTTACAAGCATATATTAAATGCGTGAATTCATGACACACTAAGTCTAGACTTTTTGTTTTAGACATTACAGTAAATGTCACAGTCAATTCCAACATGAATTTGCAATGGTGATGGACATGTGGCATCTGCTTGTGCTTCATCCTCTGGGGTATGATATCTTTCTTATTATTAAATATCAGAAAAGAAAACTATTAATTCTACCTAAGATCTTATTGCTGTATCAGTTTTCTTTAACGTGCATCTTACATTAAAAAGTCTATTCAAAATTTTGAATTTTAGAGTCTAAATTAATAATATTTATTATCATAATTATTATTATCATCACCACATACTGACCCCATTCTGTTTAGCCAGAATATAACAGGTGTTCTTCTGTGAATCAGTCGCAATGACATCAGTGTTGTCACCTCTTAGATAGTCTTTCTTTGAGCTCAGTGTCAAGGCTGTGTTGATTTCCAGCTCCTGTACATGGTGCACCCGGCCCTCGCGGCGTACTTTTAGTAACTTGACATAGTTCTTGCCATAGTCACTGTCTGCTATCTGCACTTCATGGTCTGATAACATGGTGCTTTAAAAACATGCAAGAAATACAGACGATTCAGATTAAAAGACTACAAAAATGTAACAAGTTATATATGGTAGTCAGTTGCAATAATATTGTTGACCTCTTTTTTAACCCAGTGAAATACCTACATGAGTTGGAAAAACTTGGTAATTTTTTTAAACAAATGACAATTAAGAAACAAAATAGTGTCAAACCAAGTCCATAAGGGAATCTTGGTTATTAATTTACAACAAAACATGGATAGGAAATAGAGGTTGAGCTTCAGAGATGAACGATGCATGGTTCTTTATTTTCACACTTACTGGATGCCCACACATAAAATTTCTGTTATGTACAAAGAATTAAAATTTTTGAATGCCCTGAAACAGCTAGGACAGGTAGAAATATCATCCCAGTCACTTCTACCTGTCCTAGCTTTCAAAGCACTGCACTAAGTCTGTCTCCAAACCATCACGTGGTTATTTTTCACAGTCGTCTCGCCATGAAATAAATTATTTCTAGACTGCTTTTAAGGCACAATTTAAAACATGCATGAACTAACGACACTGCTGCATGTTGAGGTACATTTAGGCAAAGAAAAAAGCCTTCTGTAGTTTAGCTTCTTCCATATAGCTGAACAACTTCAATTATTGGACCTGGTATATTCATACACTGAGTGCTGTGTGATTTTTTAAATTAATCATCCCCAGTATAAAGTTATACATAACCAATAAATAGTGCCTACACTGTATTAGTCTGTAAAAGATGTTCAGTGTTTTGTTAATGAACCAGTATATTTATATATTATTAACATTAAAGTGGAAGTGTAACCCAAGCCCATGTCTGACATGTTTTGGTAATGTTCAAATATTATTGTTGACATATGTCACAACTTTGATATTTTTGTTAATTCTGATTCATTCCTAGACTAATTTTAAGTTCAGTATTGCAAGGTTTTGTGTCAGGTAAAGGTCAAACATTCCATATTCAATTGACTATGTTTATGAAAATTAAAAAAAAAAAAAAAAAAAAAAAAAAACTTGTTTCATAAAATTAAAGGCAGACTAGAAAAAAAAGGGTTATTCACATTTTCACCTTTGAAATTGACATTTTTTACCATAGTTCTTCATGTTACAGTTAATTTACTAGACAGTCATACTACTAGTATACACTGCTTTCTTCTCTTCAGTTAGTTACCTATACCCAAGATCAATGAACACCTTGAGAGATTAATCAATGCTTTGACTTGAACCACTGTACCTCTGCAGATAAATGCCAGATAGGTATTAAATAGTAACTAGGTTGTTTACTAGTAAAAGGCCTTTACAAGTGAAAGTGATTCAAATTGACCTTGGCACTGGTGGCCTTGATACAGAGACTCTAACCACCTTTGAGTTGGCTCATTTTTTGTAGCACCAATAAAGTACGGATGTCCTTGATGTTATCAAGAACATTATACCAACAATCCTAGCTTTATGAATAACAATGAAAAAATATTGAATTATTCATTTCAATAACTTTCTCCTGCACATTTGCTGTACCACAGTGAAATTTGCCAAGGTTGCATATTATTTCTGCACACAATAGTCACTTTTTGCTGACCAGTCACGACTGCATAAATGTTCAACAACATGTGCAAATGGTCTACAGTGCATGTATACCTCAAGTTGCCATGGTGATCCCATATCCATCCCTTACTACATGCATCTTCTGCAGACATCATTTCATAATCTTAGTTGCTTTATAAGATCTAAAGTATTAGAGTCTAAATTATTGTTTCCAACTGCACTTAAATGGTGTTAGAGATTGACAGCACAATATCTGCACTACACGAATAGTCACCCTTGGTACATTAACATCAATGTCCATATTTCAATTTATGTGTGTACACTTTCAAGGTAGCACCACTCTTAGACAAATGTCGAAGGCAAATATCCAGGTTTAAAGCAGTAAGGTGAGGGGCAAGCAAAAAATTTAAGGGGCTGGGCCTCCCACATGGCAGCTGACATGCAGATACTGTACAAGCTGTCTTTCGTTTTATAGTTATGTGCACCTTAACGTGTATATCTTGTGTGTGTATAACTATATAGTTAGGAAATATACTCAAGTAAATAATTCAACCAATATGTACACATAAGGAAAGCAAAAAGAAATACATCAAATTGTATAAACAGATGTCAACAATAAACTTGAGTATTTAGCAAGAAAATTGGCCTCCTTATGTACTACAGAGTACGTCTTCAAAGTGATTTTTTAGATTTATGAAATAAAAATTATTCTTAACACACATTTGCATTACGTTTGTCAAATCATGCTTTGCTTGCTTACCTTGGTTATGATGACTCTGTGTGAAGAGATTTTTACAGACAGAGAGTGATAAACACTACAGTCAACAGCTAGTGTTTTTAAGTCAGTGATTTACAGTAATGCCAATCAATGCCCAGTAAAGTCAGTAAAGGCTCAGTTCATGCTTGGCTGAGATAAGACATCGATCTGCTACAACTATCACTTTCTAAGTCTCAGTCCCAACTCACCACAGCTAGTTAGGTTTAATATGTCGTTACGTAACTTGTTTACAATGTGCTCAATCCTCACCTGTTATAGATTGGGTCAAATGCACGTATCGTTTAAATCAATTTGGGTAGACTAAAGTTTGAGTTCTGTCGATCAACTGTAGCAGCAAGCAGCAAGCGGTGAGCTTCGGAAGGTGGGCTACGTGACTTTAAGTCCCGGCGTTGAACTTGAGAGGCATGGGTTGAATGCATGCTTATCTGAGAAAGAACGGAGCCCTAATGTGGGATTTTAGAAAAGGTTAGGAAAAATAACAATCATGAACTTTGCAAAACAAAAATAAGAAGTAAAATTTAAAGAAAATGGTCATAAAAAGTTTAAATTACTGATACACAAAAATTTCAAAAATTAAAACCAAGGCAGAATCTTTTTGTTACGGAAAATAATATATCATTTTGGGCTTTGAAGGCTTTGAGGTTAAAAGAGGTCAAAGTTGACCCAATATTTACATGCACCATAAAGTTGAACATTGCATTAATATTATTTGAGACATTACAAAAGAAATATATAAGTGGCTTATCAATTTTTATTGTTAATTTTTTAATGATTTTATTTTTGAATACATAAAAAGTATCACTTTTTAAATGATTTTATTTTTGAATACATAAAAACGTCTCTGGTTACGAATTTCAATTAACGTCAAATTTAGACACGCGGTATACTCAGTGACCTCACGTGACCTTTTAGTTTCAGGCGAGCAAGTAGCCGAAAGCAAGGATGGAAACACCTTTCGTGTTGCTGTTTATTTGCTGTTTATCTATCTACATCAACAACTGTTGGTCGAGCCTACAGTGTGTTGGTGAGAATGGAAAGGCAGTAGATTGGTAAGTGGTGTGCAAATGGACTGACACCTGTCTTTTTATTGGGGAATCGCCGGAGATATCTCAAAGATTCATCTCAGCCTTCGCTGCGGTGTTATTTTGCTTCCTGGCTAAGATCAAAGTGTAGTGTAGTAGTCGCTGTCCAACCTTCGAAGTAGTTATTTTATTTTATTTTATATTTTTTAAAAATAGATTTGATAATTTTATAGATTTACAAATGTACAAGTCACATGATGATGAAGTCTCTGTAATTGAGGCAAAAATGTTAATCGGTCGTGCCAGGTCATATGCCTATATTCAGCTGATCTGTCTTCCATGAGTCATGTAATGAACAGTGCCTAGGCGACCATACATCCCAGTTAATTGTAAACATGCAGAGACTATGCACCAGTAGCCTTTATTTGCTTAAGTTGTTGTAATGAATCATCAGAATGGCACAATTCACATGATGGAGCGTTACAGGATTAGTACTAGCTGATGATTTAAGTCCTCTTTTTCATCGTGGGTACACTTTAAATTTCAGTTCCATGCCTTTTTGAAAGAGTGACAACATGGTAACCTGGCTATTACAGAAGAGTGTCATATAGATAAAGTCCCACTCTCTCCACATATCTACCTCACATCTATAAATACAAGTGCCATCAGGTGTGTCTTTATAAGGATGAAATATTTGCAAAATCGACAAGAAAAATATATTTTTTAAATTGAAATCTCATTTACAGGTTTATTGCCTACAAGATTCCCAAGATAGCAGAAAGCTCAAATCCATTTGTAAAGGAAGGCTTGGCATATTTCTATATGGACAATAATACTGTGTCAGGGGCATGGGCACTTTCAAATAATTCGTTAAACAGTACTGGAGGTGCCATCTATAAGACATTAGAGCCACTTTACAAAGCTGAAAACACCACTGAGGTAAAAAGTATTTTAACAGTATTAGCTTAAATTGATATATTTTGTATCTATTATATATATGTTCAAAACTATATTTTGAAGTCATTTTAGGTATAGTTGATTATGAAATTGAATGATGTATTTTTTAATTAAATAATATGTTAGTACAGGTTTAATCAAGTGAACTGCTGCATGGGTGTAAAATGGAGTCACCTGATATTGACTAAATATAATATCTTAATTAAAGGAAGTGGCATTTGGTATGTACAATGATGAGACTCCCAGTGGAGAGAAAACAGAGGAGTATGGACACACTAAAGGTAGGGCAATGGATCTTTACCTTGAGCCTGTAAGAGCAGTAGTAATAAAAGCAAAAAAAAAAAAAAATGCATGTTAGACCTCTAAATTACAGCGCAGACAAATTTCCAGGAAATTTTAGCAATTTTCCTTTATCAATAAGGTATTGCACTATCCAAAACTGATGAGAAAATGCCATTTTTGCATTTAAAATTATGAGAATTTAAAAAAATCAGACACTGTTAGAAAGATCTGAAAAGCCAGTTTATAGATTGCAATTTTGTAAAATGCTTTTCGAGTGACAATAATTTCTAAGGATCTAAGCTCAAAAAGGTACTGAGAGAATAATATGCTTGTAGTTCCAAGCCAAGTCAGATCAAGTCACCAGCTGTTACTTATCCATGTTCAGATTTACAAATGGTGAAAAATATTTTATTCCAAAGGAAAGGAGAATGTATAGTTTTTATAAATCATATATTTCTTTTATTTGCAATATTAAAAGGTGTCCTTGCCATGGATGTTTACACTGGGTTCTGGATGGTGCATAGTGTCCCCCGATTTCCAGAATTCAAGAAATACTCATGGCCGGATTCTGCTAGGGAAAATGGACAGTCATTCCTGTGTATTTCTATAACACATCCAGAGGCTGACACCATTGGTAAGTCATTCCTGTGTATGTCCATAACACACCCAGAGGCTGAAACCATTATTAAGTCATTCCTGTGTATGTCCATAAGACATTTCTGTTTGTCTATAGCACATCCAGAGGCTGACACCATTGGTAAGTCATTTCTGTGTGTGTCCATAGCACATCCAGAGGCTGACACCATTGGTAAGTCATTTCTGTGTGTGTCCATAGCACATCCAGAGGCTGACACCATTGGTAAGTCATTTCTGTGTGTGTCCATAACACATCCAGAGGCTGACACCACTCTTGATGAGTGATTTCTCACGTAAATTGTCACTACCTAGTTAAAATAATCTTTTAATCAACAGAGAGATTTAAGTCTTCCCGAGTTATCCAGAAATGTGGGTATTTCGGTGTTGTATTTATGCCCCCATCTAGAGATGACTAGCTTTGACACTGGCATCTTCAGGGTTTTTTGTCTCTTTCATTTCTGCTATACTGAGCACTACACATTTTTTTTCAAAATCTACCCAAATTCATTTTATTAGAAGTTTTGGGATTAAAGAATAGACATACTTGAGTTGCTTTAAAATCGTGTCATGTATTTAAGTTTAATTAAGACCCAAACTTTTCATTTTCTACAGCTCAACAAATGACATACAACCGACCATGGATCTATGGCAAGAACTTTCCAGCTAAGTTTGAGCACACTGACCGCGCATTCCTGGGCATGCTGCATGGCAAGTTCCGTAATGGGAACCGCACAAAGATGATCAATTCTGCAGGTGGAGAGAAATTCCTTGTCTTTGCCAAGGATGCAGATTTTGGAGCTGGTGAGATTCCATTATTGTTATTATCATCACTGCATGCACCTTGTTAGTTTGCGTCTCAATTTTGAAGACCCTTCTGTATTCTTGTTTAATTGTTTGTAATTTTCACACTGCCCCCTTCCTCTTTATTTTCTGCACCACTTATTTAAGACTTAAACGAAATCTAAGTCACATTCAAGATTGTAGTATCATTGGAGTAATCTCAGTTAATATTGAAACATGGAATTCATTAAAATTAGCTGTGCTTGAATTGAAAAATTGCTTGAATAATGCTAGAATTATGTCCACTCCTTTTTCACTGTTATCAATAAGGCCAAAGCGAAACAAACCTGAAACATGTTTGGCTCTTATTTATATTTATTTCAAGAAGAAAGAGTGTTTTATGTATCCAAGTGTGGGGTGTGAAATACTTTGCACTTGCAGGTCCAGGATGGGGGTTGGGGGGGGGGGAGGGAGTGTTACATATGAAGTGGCACAGTCAAGGGAGGGGGTGTGTTCCTACTCTACCCACCCCTGGATCCACTTCTGTCTTTTTAGTCAGGGAATACATCATGAATTTCCTATGTTATATCCTAGCCCTTGTACCAAAATGCACTATTATCAGTACAAGAATAAAAAAAAAAATATTTAATTTTTTTTCACTAGACTTGTATGATGCCTATGTTGGCCCATACCTGGCCAGCAGCTTGTACACAGAAACCTGGCAGAATGGACCGGGGAAGACACCATCCTACTGCAAGGGCCCATTCCATGTAAGTGCTAAGGCCCCATTCCCATAGACACATCGGTCTATATGGATTGACTTAGCTCTGCGGGATTCTAGCTGAGTGCCATCAGCTAAACAGATTAATGTTAAGTCGAATACAGAGAAGCTGGTGATTATGCAAAAGGAGGCCTGCCATGCAAGTTAGCTGATTGCACTCAGCGAGTGTCCCTGCAGAGTTGGGTCGAGACCCTGCAGAGTTGGGTCAAACCACATGGACCCATGGTGTTTATGGGAATGCACCTTAAGTCTATGGCCCTATTCAGAATAGGAGACTAACTAGTCCTAGGGTCAAATATGGTGACCCACTACAAAGCTTGCCGTCCAATCTGCTAATAATCACTGCGTGAAGAGATGTCGCGTGGAGAAGTATTTGACCCTCGGACTAGTTAGTCCCCTATTCTGAATAGGGTCTATAATAACAACACACAGTTTATATTTGTGTGAACCTGTGACAATATTTCCTACTAACTGGAATGTACAGGAAAACATGTCTTTGTGTTTGGCCTGTCATTTATGACTAAATAAATTGAATTACAAATGGTATAAAACATAGAAGTGCGTTATTGATTTGTGAGTGGGAGATTATTTTACTTTTTTTTTTTTTTTAGGTCTGGAAAATTTGACTTGATGGTAAAACCATGGATTTGGTATCATAGAATACAATGGGTTATTTTGATATTTTCTTCTTTTCTGTTACTGTTTAGGTGGAGAATATCCAGAGTATTTCATTCCCTAAAACAGAGATTGCCTTCAAAGAAACCAAGGACCATTCCAAGTGGGCCGTTACTGTCAAGTCTACACAGGGAGACTGGACTTGTATTGGTGACATAAACAGACAGGTGACAGAGTCAATCTTTTTCTTTTGTTTAAAGATGCTATATTATAGATAATTATGTTCGTAAATGTCCCAAAGATATGATGTCTCATGTCTCCAGAACCTGTATGGTATTTATTTTTCCCAATTCAGTATTTTAAATTGATGAATACCCACATTAAAATAAAAGCATCTGATGTTGAAAATTCCCTTTTGAAATGCACAGTTAGACATTGTTCTCTTAATGTCTGACCTGCCATTGAAAACCAAATTATTTATTAATTAAGAATGGCATAAAACATCAAATCCAAGTGAACGTTTTTTTTTGTCCTCTTCCAGGAAGGTCAGCTTCACAGAGGAGGAGGCACAGTGTGCATGAACAACCGCCAGGTCTGGAAGTCTTTCAGTGGCTTGGTGGGTGCGGTTGAGCATTGCAAAGTATAAAGGATTATACTAATCTCCAAAATGGGTTGCCAAATATCTCAGCAAAATGAATATGCTGCTGAGTTAAGTACTCATACAAGATACACAGTTCAAAGATTTTAACACAAACAAGGCTTTTGTACAGTTACTGAATATTTTGTCAGTCAAGCAAGATTAAAAGGGATAACAACTGTTCATTTTGGCCAAAAATTGAATTTTCCGGGTGTAAACAACAATTTTTTCCATACTAAGGCCACACTTTTTAAATTTTATGGATGACATCCTGCGCGCGCACCGATTTTCGTCCGTTCTCAAAAAAAAAAAAAA